GCCTAGTGAGCCGTGGCGCCGGCCCGCACCTTTCCTCTTAAAAACTCAAGCAAGTGTTCTGGATTCCTGCTGCCCCCTGCCGATGTGGCCCTGGGGAAGCAGGAACGCTTGGATGCTGAGACGCGGGCGGGTTTGTGTCAGCAGTGAGCCCCAGGCCACGTCCGCTTGCAGCCCTGTTCAGCTCCTGCGCACTGCTGAGTGGTCTCGGCTCCGCCCAGGCTTCTCCAGCCAGACCCTTCCGCCTCCCACCTCCTCCCATCGCCCAGCCCAGCCCCACTGTCAGCTCCCTCTTCTCCCAGGTTCCCCTGGAAGCAGTCCCTCCTATCAGGTCACCTGAGGGAGATTGGGGAGGTGGGGCGAGGCAGAGGGAGGAGGGGTGGAGAGAGGGAGGGGACCCAGTGTGGGGGTTGGGGGGTGGGGCAGGAGACAGGATCCCAGGGATGGTGCGAGCCAGGGACCACAAGGCCTTCAAGTGGAAGCACCAGCGCCCACCTTGGCCCCGCTGCCTGCGTCCGTGTGGGCTGCCGCGTTCATTGTAACACCGCAGTGAGCTGTGGGTCAGCAAGGGCAGCTTGCGTCTTGCTCACCTGAGCATCCACCCTCCACGCAGTCACGCAGGGGCCCAGGGGCCTTCGGTCATTCTTACATCCGTGGGCACGAAGGGAGGAGAGCTGGGGCAGGCTCCTGGCCTGGAAATGTCATATTCACTCACATTCACTTTGTTTTAACTGAGGGGTGTGTTACACAGTTTTTTTAACTGAGGGGTGTGTTACGTATCACAGAGTTTGCCCGTTGCAGGTGTACAATGCAATGGTTTGTGGTAGCTTTGCCAGGTGCGGTAACTGTCACTGCACATCAGCTGTAGCGTGTTTTCTTCCTGCCAACAAGACTCCCTGTGCGTGTTCCCTGTCACTGTACCCACCTGCCAGGCAGTCATACGCCGCCTTCAGTCTTAGGGACTTGCCTGCGTGGTCTCGTGGCTGGCTCCGCTCCCTTAGCACCCTGTTTTGAGGCTTATCCTGACCCAGCACCTGTCAGTAGCATGCTCCCCTTCCATTGGCTGGAATGCAAGTCACGTGGCCAGCTGCAAGGGAAGCTGGGAAATGTAGTCTAAGAGGTGGGAGCGTCCTCCCTACCTGGTTACTTGGTAAGAATCCACAAACACACGGATGCCATGGGTGAGGGGTGTGTGTGCACATTTGAGTAGGAACTGCAGAGTCTGGGTCTGAGCTGGCCCCAGCAGCACCAGAGAGGGTGTCGGGGGAGGTGGGGCCGGGCACACGCGGTCCTTGGAGGACACCATGTCCCTGCCCTCCTGAGCTGTGCACATCTTCAGATCACCGAAAATGCAGTGTTCACCCAGGTCTGGGAGGCAGGGACCTCCCTAGGGGGCGTGGGTCGAGAGGTGGCTACAGGGTGGCTACAGACGCCTCCCTGTGCCTTCAGAGCTGCGCGTCGGCGGCCTGCTGGGCTCTGCTCAGCTGCTGGGACAGGCGTCATCGCCGCTCCAACAGGAGCCTCGTTTTCAGAGGAAACACCCCTCTCCTTGCCTTTCACAGCACGGGCTGGGGGACGGGGGAAGTCGTGCTCCTGGGCCCGCCCCGAAGCCGGTGCTGCGACGGGGGAAGGTGAGGAGGCTGCAGCCCGGGGAGTTATCCGAGGACACGGCGCCCGCTCCCCACTGTGCAGCTGTGCTTTCCACGTTAGTCATCTGAGGATGGAGAAGGTGCACTTTCAGGGCCAGAGAATTCCATCCCGGGGAAGAGCTGGCCACGCTGCCCACGCCCACCTGCAGCTGGCTGGCTGCTGGGGACAGCGGGGGCCACACACCTGCTCTGTGCAAGCCTCCCTCCGGCCTCGGGGTGCCCCAGAGAGTGGGCTTCACAGGGCCTCTCCCTTTGGACACGGAATGTTGGAGACACAGTGGATCCCGTCTGTTTTTCAGAGGCCAGTCGTGGGGCAGGGAGATGTGTGTGTGCAGAAAATTCCAGAAATAACTCGAGAGCCACCCTCGGATTTGCTCTGCGGGAAAGCATCTGTCCGGGAGGGGCTGGAGGGAAAGCGCAGGCCGAGAATTTCCTGGAATCCTCTCGCTCGTTTCTGAGCAAAGCCCTTCTGTTTTTCAGGCCTTGGACAGGGGCGAGGGTGCCGAGCCCCCCAACCTGGCTCACACCTGGGGCTGCAGGAGCTGCACACGCGATGTGGGACTGTGTCAGAGCCAGGAGCAGGGCCTGCGTCTTTAGACCCCTAGGGCCGCGGGATCTTGTCTGGTGCTTTGACAGCCTGTTTCTCCCTCCATGAGGAGGAGCGGTTTGGGCAGAGGAGCAGGTGGAGCCTGCTCTGTGCCAGGCACGGGGGTTGTTTTCAGGGGTTCCTGGAAGGGAATTTTGGGGGGACCAGCGTTGTGGTGCAGCAGCTTGAGCCCAGGATGAGCTGCTGCTTGGGACATCGGCATCCTGTGTTGGAGCGTCAGTTTGAGCCCCAACTGCTCCACTTCCAATCCAGCTCCCTGCTAATGTATCTGGGAAAGCAGCAGAGGATGGCTCAAGTGCTTGGGCCCCTGCACCCACATGGGAGCCTCGGATGGAATTCCTGGCTCCTGGCTTCAGTCTGGCCAGACCTCGGCTGTTGCGGCCATTTGGCGGAATGGACCAGTGATGAAAGATACCTCTCTCTCTCTGTGTTTTTCTTTCCTTATTTCTCCATCAATCTGCCTTTCAAATAAAATTTCAAAGGTTATTTATTTAAATATTTATTTGTTCAATTAAAAAGCAGAGTGACACAAAGAGGGAGAGACAGAGATCTTCCACCTGCTGGTTCACTCCCTGAATGTCTGCAACAGCCGGGACTGAGGCTGGACCAGGCCATGCCAGGAATTCCATCTGGGTCTCCCACGTGGGCAGCAGGGGCTCAAGTACTTGGCCTACCCGCGGTTGCTTCTCAAGCACGTTAGCAGGAAGCTGGATCAGAAGTGGAGTTGGGATCCGATCCCAGGTACTCCTATGTGGGGTGCAGGCTTCCAGAGTGCGCCAGCTTAACCCACTGCACCACAACGCACATCCCCGGGCCGGGCCCTGGCTCCAGCGGGTCTCCCATGTCCTCAGGTAATTGCCACTTCTCACCAGGCCCACTGTGGTTTGTTTGCTCTTTTTGGACCCGGACGTTGAGTCCAGCACTTCTTGTACGGTCAGGCAGCAGCAAGCAGGAGAGCTGGGACTGAAATCCCGGTCAGCTGCATGCCCAAGCCTGGGCCCTTTACATAACGTCTTGAACAAAACACTGCTGCCACTTCCCCCTTGAGGGCTGGTGGCATATCCTCCCCTAACTCTCTCCCAAGCTCTGACTCCTGCAGGATGGCCCCAGGCAGAAGCAGCAGCTGCTGACTGTGACCGTGACCCTGGGCTTCTTCAGTCTGAATGCTGTGAAAGACCTGCCCCAGCCTCAGCGCTAGACAGAAATGCCTCAGCTGCCCACTGCAGAGGCAGGAGGGGCCCTGTCTCCTCCATCTGGGACAAGGACCAGGAGGGTGGAGCCCCCTCGTGCCACGCAGGCCGTGCTTGTCTGTGCGGGTGGCTCTGGGCCTCTGCCCACGGGCGCTGTCGGCAACGTCCTGGCACCGTGGCTCTGGCCTGTCGGAGTGCCCGTGGAGCTGGTGCAGCCAGCGCTGACACGGTCAGGGCCCTGTTTGTGATTTTTCAGACCTAACCTGCACTCTGCACTCCTGGGGCTAGAAGGGAGCCTCTGGGGCATCCCATTGGCCACGCGGAGGCTTTGCCCCTTCCCGGCTGTCCGTGTCCTGCACAGCCGCATGTCTGCCCAGAGACCCGGCTGCTGCAGATCCCTGCCAGGGCTTGAGTCCTGCTGTGTCATTGCCGCTGCTGCTGTTGTTTGTGACCGCAGGTGTTTCAACTTCCCACGAATTTGTACACCCAAGGAGCTCCTGCATTGCCCTTCACCTCTCTTAGCTTCTTTCACGCTCCCCTCACATGACACTCCAAGGGGAGAGTGAATGGGAGAGCCAGTCTCCAGACCCAGCCCTGAGCTGTGCTGTCGCCCCAAATGCCCCCAAAGCCGCACTGGGCATAGCCCTTGCAGGTACAAGGGCCTCAGGGTTTTAGCTCCCCCAGATTTAAGTTTCATTCCCTCTTTTTTTATTTTATTTTTTATTTTTGACAGGCAGAGTGGACAGTGAGAGAGAGAGACAGAGAGAAAGGTCTTCCTTTGCCGTTGGTTCACCCTCCAATGGCTGCCGCGGCTGGCGCGCTGCGGCCGGCACACTGCGCTGATCCAATGGCAGGAGCCAGGTACTTATCCTGGTCTCCCATGGGGTGCAAGGCCCAAGTACTTGGGCCATCCTCCACTGCACTCCTGGGCCACAGCAGAGAGCTGGCCTGGAAGAGGGGCAACCGGGACAGAATCCGGCGCCCCGACCGGGACTAGAACCCAGTGTGCCAGCGCCGCAAGGTGGAGGATTAGCCTAGTGAGCCGCGGCGCCGGCCTCATTCCCTCTTATATCCAAGTTGGGCTACCTATAGGAAAACCACTTAAAATTACTCTCTGTAGCGTAACCATTGAAAATAAACCATTTAAAGTTATCATTGTCATGGACCATTTAAAATGAATCCCCGTACGGATTAAACTGGGTCCTCTAAGAAGATATGTCTGAATTCTCACGCCAAGGACCTCGGAAGATGGCCTCACCTGGAATGGGGCTGTTGCAAAGGTAATCAGGCAAATTCCGGTTGATGCCGGACCAGGGAACTGTGGGCCCTTAATGCCCATGGCCAGGGTCCTTGTGAGGAGAGGGGAGAACAGGGCTGAGGTTGGAGGGTTGCAGCTGTGAGCTGGAGGGGGCCAGGAAGGGTCCTCCCCTGGGGTCTTCAGAGTGAGCACAGCCCTGCTGCCTCCTTGAGCTCAGACTTCTAGGTCCCAGGACTCTGAGACAATACATTTGGGTCGTTTTGTGGCCTTTGTTACATCAGCTCTGGGAAGCCGGCACAGTCACCATGGAGACCACGATGACGACGCTCCGGGAAGAAGCCACGCTGACCTGTGGCTGTGAGGACCCCCGGCGGTCACGCCCATCGGTGTGGGAATCCCGCTGCAGCCCATGGTCCTGAAAGAGCCCGTGCTGCTTGCTTGGCCTCCTCCAAGCTAAGCACCCAGCATTGGCTTTAACTGGGAGTCGAAGCAGGAGAGCTGTGGGTGCGCATGGGTGCCCGCGGGGTGGGCACTGGGGACTGGGGACTGCCTGAGGGCTTGGGCGCGAGGATGACAGCGGCTCGCAGGGGTGTGGGGTGTGCGTTGTGCAGAGCCGTGGGAGTGAGGAGTGAGGCCCAGGCTGAGCTGGGTTCCTGGAGCATCCAGGGAATCTCTGGGGCCCTCAGGAGAAGGCTCGTCAGTTGGGGGATGGTCAGGGCGTGCGGGCAGCGCCTCCCAGGGAAGAAGCAGCAACTGGCTGCCCCCCCACCCGGGGGTGGGACGAGGCCCCCAGAGGTGACCTGGGAGCAGGTGGCATGGGAGGGCTTGTGTTTGCACTGCTGGGGTAGCGGGGAGCCTGTGGCCAGGACGCATGGAGGACTCTGGCCCCGGGCCCGGGCCCCCAGCCTGTCCTCTGCTGACTTCTGTGCCAGGCCCCACCGAACGGCCCTCCTCGAGACCTCCTTGTACCGAGTCTGGGATCCCCGAGCCGATCTGGGGCTGCGTCGCTGGCTCCGGCCGTGAGGTGGGAAAGCGAACGCCCATCCTTGTGCTCCCTGGTCTCCCAGCACTGCATGTGGAGAGCCAGACGGGCTGCCGGCAGGGGCCGTCTCCCTGATCTGCCACACCTGGGCACGGAGTTTCTGCATGTCCTTGATCTCTGCTGTGCCCAATAGCATGCATTTCCCCCCCACCCCCCGTCTGGGACCACCAAGAAGCCACGTCCAGGCAGTCCCTCCTTACAGGCCTCTCCTGCTCCCAAACTGGGCTCTGCCCGCATCGCCTCACCAAGGGCCCCCATGAAGGCTGAAGCCCGCCAGGACACGAGAGCAGAGAGACCCTCCACCCGGCCTGACTCCCCCGCCTAGCTCCGCTCTGGGCTGCTTTCCAACCTTACCCGGAGCGGGCCCAGGTAGCAGACATCACCATGGTAACCCTCACTACCCGGGGGCAGCATGAGGCTTCTCGGTTCCCGGCCTTAGCGCTCAGGGCCTGGGCATGGGTTTCTTTGGCATTGTTCACCGCTGGCCCGTGAAGGAGCTTCTGGGCCTTGTGTCCCTCGGATGGTTTCCAGGATACCAGGGGGCAGGATGCGGGGAGGGAGAGGGAGAGTCTGGCGCTGTCGTTAGCATTAGCTCCAGCGTGTCAGATCACAGGGGCTGGCACGGCTGGGTTTCTCACTGGCTGCTTCCACCTATGTCCTCAGATCACCTGTGTCCACCAGTGAAGGTCCCCTGTGCTGTGTCCCACCTGCAGCCCCGTTCTCCCATGCCACCCCTCCACTCCACGGTGACACCTGGTGTGACCCCTTTCTATTTGTACCGTCTCCCAGGAGACCGGAGGACAGAGGAGGAGGCTTCCCGGATCAGAAAGACGGCTGCAGCGTGCACTGCTCCTGGCCAGTCGGCAGCCACTCCCCTTTCTTTGCGGCTGAGAGCCTCTGTCATGGCGACCCTATTCTCCTCGGCTGGAGGCAAGCTCTCCCAGGCTCCTTTGCAGCCCCAGGTGGCTGTGTGACTGGGTGTTGGCTAATGAGGGACATCTCCTGGGGGCTTCTGGGGAAACTATTCCCTTCCTAGTAAAAGGAAAAGAGACACGGGGGTGGGTGTTGTGGCACAGCAGGCTAAGCTACTGCCTCCCATATCCCGCCTCCACTTTGCAATTCCAGCTTCCTGCGAATGGGGCTCTGGGAGGCCGCAGTGACGGCTCGAGTCCTTGGGCCCCTGCACCCACATGGGAGACCCGGATGGAGCTCCTGGCTCCTGGCTTTGACCCGGTCCAGCCCTGGCCATGGCAGGCATTTGGGGAGTGAACCGGCAGATGGAAGATTCTCTCTCCCTGTCTTTCCTTCTCCCTCTGCGGCTCTGCTTTTCAAATGAATAGACCTTTAAGAAAGGAAGAGACATGGGGAAAGGCCGTTCCTCCCCTGTCAGGGACCAGACGTGCCCTCTGGGGCCATCTCAGGACCGGGGAAATGGCCGACGCTGACCAAGCTGGCCCTGATGAGGCCCAGCTAAAGCCCAGCTAAAGCCCAGGCTGCGCTGGCCGCCGCCAGCCCTCCTGCCCTGTGCTGTGTGGTCTGAGTCCTCGCCGCTCCCTGTGACATCCAGGCCAGCAGCCTGGGCATCACCAGGAGCCTCAGGAGTGCAGAACCAGGCCTGTGCCAGACCACCTGGCTCCGAATCTGCATCTAGAACCACCTCCAGGATGTCTCCTGGTGACCTGTGAGCACCTAAAGGTGTGAGAAGCACAGAGGAGGGGGGAGAGAGGAGGGGGGGGGGGAGAGGGGGAGGGGGAGAGAGAGGGAGGGGGAGGGGGGAGGGGGGAGAGAGGGGGGAGAGAGAGAGGGAGGGGGGAGAGAGGGAGAGGGAGAGAAGGAGAGAGAGAGGGAGAGGGAGAGGAAGAGAGAGAGAGGGCGAGAGAGAGGGAGAGAGAGGGGGGAGAGAAAGAGGGGGAGAGAGAAAGGGAGAGAGGGGGGGAGAGAGAAAGAGGGGCAGAGAGAGAGGGGGAGAGAGAGAGAGGGAGAGAGAAGGGGGAGAGAGAAAGAGAAGGGGAGAGAGAGAGGGAGAGAGACTCTTTCATGAGAACTGACATTCTTCTAGCAATTCATTTTCTCGGTGGTGTGGCTGTGGCTGTGCCTCTCTGAGCTGGACGATGGAATCTTCATCTTCAAAAGGAAGACAAGGCTCTCCCCACCCGCCCAGCCCTCTCCCCGCCCAGAGGCTGGGGGCTTCCTCCCAGCCCGCTGGGTCCACGTTGGTCTCTGCAGGGTGTGGGGGGCGTTGGCCTTTGGCTCCTGGCTGTTGGGCTCGATCTTCCCCCGCGTTCTCTGAAGCCGGGGCTTTAAGCTTCGGAAGATCAACACCTGTTCACAACAGGGCCTTGAAAAATAAACACCGTTGCCGAGGGCTTTCCTTTCGCAAAGCTTGTTTTCCTTCTTGGAGGAGCAGTCAAGTCGCTAAAGAGAAAGCGCGTTGTGGATTTTAGCTTCAAGCAAGTCAGTCATGAGACTGCTGAAGAAGCCAGCTCTGCCTGAGTGGGGCGGGGAGCTGGTTCCTGAAAATGGACAAAGAGCTCCAATTCCAGCGGAAACAGTTTCTCCCCACAACGTCAGGATTTTCACGATTTGCATCTGTTTTGTCTGGATTTTTGATTTTTCTGATGAGGCTGAACGCTGGGGAGCCGGGTTAGCCAGCAGAGGCTTGCGTGGGGGACCTCAGCGTTGCCGGACGTCAGAGAGGTGTCGCAATGTTGCTGCGTGGAGACGGTCCCCGCCTCCTCCCTCGACACTCCTGCTCCTGTTGGCATTTGTTTCGCAGTCCCTTAAAAGCTCACATCCGGGGTTTGGTCCCCGATGTCTTATGTTAACAGTTAAGGAATTCACATTGAT